GAAAAGTCTAAAGGATATAGGTTCTTCCATGAAGAGAAAGGGGTCATTGAAAGTAGAGATGCTACTTTTCTAGAAAAACTAGAGGAAAAGGAACGAGTTCAAGAGGCAGTACAACCTCTGTTAGACTTAGATGATGTTCCCAACGATGACCTGGACATAGTGGATGAAGTAAATCATCCAATAATGGAAGATGAGCCTTTAAATGAGAATATACCTATGGTAAATCAACCAGCAGAACCTGTCCAACCTGTCAACCTTAGTGGTAATAAAAGACCCAGAACAACACCTGCATGGATGGATGATTATTATCTGTATTCATGCGAACCATCCTGTTTCTCGGTAGACATTGACATAGATGAGCAAGCTGATCCCTTGAATTATGTGGATGCTATGAACACACATGAATCAGAACAATGGCTGGAAGCCATGAAAAGGGAGCTTGACTCAATAGAGAGAAACAATGTATGGGAGCTATGTGACTTACCAGAAGATAGGAAGTCCATAGGATGTAAATGTGTGTTAAAGAAGAAATATCGGGTTGATGGGTCTATTGATACATTTAAAGCCCGTTTAGTTACTAAAGGTTTTACTCAGAAGGCAGGTATAGATTATCAGGAGACTTACTCTCCGGTGGCTAAGTTTGCTTCTATAAGAATTATCTTAGCAATTGTTGCACATCTTGACTTGGAACTTTTCCAAATGGATGTCAAGACTGCATTCCTCAATGGAGAGTTGAAGGAAGTAATATATATGAATCAACCTGACCAAATGGATGTCAAGACTGCATTCCTCAATGGAGAGTTGAAGGAAGTAATATATATGAATCAACCTGAGGGATTCTAGGTTGAAGGACAAGAAAACAAAGTATATAAATTAAAGAAATCTTTATATGGTTTAAAACAGTCATCTAGACAGTGGTATCTCAAATTTCACAATACTGTTATCCAACTTGGTTTTGTTGCAAATAAATTGGATAACTGTGTATATGTCTTGAAGAGTGGCAGCAGTTTTACAATATTATCCTTGTATGTGGATGATATTTTGCTGGCTGGAAATGACATAGAAGTGCTGAACAGAATCAAGTCAGCACTTAGTAGTGAATTTGAGATGAAGGACATGGGAGATACATCCTATGTTCTTGGTATACAGATCCTTAAGGATAAAAAGTCTAGAATGTTAAGTTTAAACTAAGAAAGGTATTTGCATACAATACTTAGAAGGTTTGGGATGGGAAATTGTAACCCTGCGCCAACACCTTTGGTTATGGGAAAGCGGTTGTGTAAAGAACAATGTCCTGGAGAAGGGCAGAAACCGCTTAGTGTCCCGTATGCACAAGCTGTTGGAAGCTTGATGTATGCAATATTGTGTACTAGACCAGACCTGGCATATCCGGTGACTTTGGTTAGTAGATATCAAAGTAATCCTGGTCCAGCACATTGGGAGGCTGTTAAGAGGATTTTAAAATACCTAAAAGGCACTGTGCACCATAAGTTAGTTTATCAAGCAGACTCGCTTGAGGTTCGTGGTTACTCCGATGCTGATTTCGGAGGAGACAAAGATGACGGGAAGTCCACTTCCGGACACTTGTTCATCTTTGGTGGTGCAGCTGTTTCTTGGGGTAGTAAGAAACAGGGATGTGTGGCCAGATACACACAAGAAGCTGAGTACATAGCCTGTAGTATGGCCACTACTCATGCAGTCTGGATAAGACGGTTCCTAAAGGACTTGGATATCAATTTGGTGGATGGACCAATTGAGATATACTGTGATAATTAAGCAGCCATCAGCTTGATCCACAGTGGTGCAAACAGTTCTAAAGGAAAACATATTGAGATACAATATCATTATATTCGTGATATTGTGGAAAAAGAAGAAGTCAGTGTTACTTATATTCCTACTAGTGACATGATTGCTGATCCCTTGACGAAGGGTATCCCAGCAGGTACATTTATCAAACATGTTGGTTTGATGGGACTTAGAAATATCTAAGACAAGGAAACTTTCATGAATATTGAAAGGAGACGATCATGGATAATGGTTGTACTCGGCTTATTCACGTAGAGTGAAAATATGCATATATCTCACGGATAGTGGGAGTATGAAATTACATCTTGAGTAACATCCCATGGATAGTGGGAGTCTGCTTGGAAAGTATTTGGCCATTTCGGCCAAGTGGGAGATGTAAGTGGGTTTGGCCTCATGGGCCAAATAGTTACCCAACCCGTTAAGAACTCGATACGTTTGTTGGGAGAATCTCACAATCTGTGGGATTTCTTTCAGTTGCAGAACGAGTCTCACGTAAAGCAACGTGCGTGAGGAAAATCGGGAGGCAAATCAGGGCGGTTACCTGGGGACGGAGGGGGGATAGAACGCCCATAAATACAGAAAGAGTTCATCTTCTTCAGAAACAACAAGAGAAAATCTCCACCGGAGTCCCCAATAGCAATTCCTCTCTCGTTTCTTCACAAATTAGACAGTTGATGGAAAACTTGTGAGAGATTGATATTTTATGAGTGAATCTTTGTATTGGTACCCAGCCTATGTGCATTTTTCAGATAGTAATGAAAATTTTTCAGTTACCCAAAAAAAAAAGGAGGTTCGCCCCTCAACATCAGTTAGAACACAATGCTACATGTCAGAGCATTTTTGGCCACTATAGAGTGGAGGAAAAAAGAGTAGGATATAATTTAATCTGATTTGTTTTGATCATCGCGTAAGCGTCCAGGTTGAGATTATGGCGTGTTTGGTTGCCTCTTTAAGAGAGGAAAATGAGTTGAAAGCCTGCCAAAAATATCAGTTTTAGCAGACTTTCTTGCAAAAACGTCTTATGCAAACAAACAACCCCTAATGATGCAACTTTTGGCAGACTTTCACCCTTCCCCCTTAGAGCATGGGCAGCAAGCTCCGATCTCTGCTCTGAAGGCCGACGTGGCGATGGATGTTGCCAATCCCCCCTCCAGCAAGCTCTGAAGGACTCCCAAGCCCAGCTCCTTAGGTCGACGTGGCGGTGGAGAGCTTCGGAGCTCCCAAGCGCTCCACAAATTTGTGGAGCGCTTGGGAGCTCCCAACTGGGAAAACTTTACAAAACCCCCCCTCAAACATACCAGGATCGGCGACGTTGTCGAAGCATTGGGCTCTGGCGGCGTTCGGGTCGGCGGAGGTTCGGGACGACGGTGCCGGCGACGTTGTCGAAGCATTCGGGTCGCCGCCGTTGATGGAGAGGATGAAGACCTCCCCCCCGCCCCCTGGATTTGATGGCGTTAGCCGAAGTTGAAAGATCGGCGGATGGGTCTGTTGAAGGGAGAGGATGAAATACCCGTTGTTTTTTTAAATTTGGGGTTGGATTTGATGGCCTCTTTTGGTTTTTTTATTTATTTATTGGGTGTGCTGTTTGAGAATTGAGCTGATGCTCATCAAAATAGTGAATATAATAATGAAGCCAACCAAAACTATTGAGGTGAAAAGTTTAGCTGTTGAGGTGAAAAAAATAGAGTTGATAATAATGTACAGTTGAGGTGAAAAGTAATGGTAAAATATTAAAATAGAATAGGGTTTTTTTTGATATTGTTTGAAGCTCCTAACTAGGAGCTTGTTGGAGCTCCATAAAACAAGGAGGGCCTCTCAAGGCTTATTTTTTTAATTTTTTATTCTAAAATGCTTGAGAGCTCTTGAGAGCTTGCTGACTAGGGCACTGTTTGGCAACCAAAAAAAGTGTCTTATCTAAGAGCTTGTGTCTTATTGACTTGGTCAACAAGCTAGTAGAGCTGTTTGGTAACCAAAAATAGGAGGAGATTATTTTGGAGATTGTGTTTTTTGCAAGTAGATTTTGGAAAGCTATCTCAAGTAGCGTTTGTCTTTGGGAAGGAGCTGTCAATTTTTTTCTTCCGTTTTTGCCCCTAATAATTCTAATTTTATATCAATAATATTGCATGATCTTTTTAGTCATTTAACAAATTTAAGCTAGTTGTACAGCTTCTTTTGCCAAACAGCTCTAGTCAATCAGCTAGCTACACAGCTATCAGCTTTCAGCTATAATTTCACAGCTTTCAGCTAGCTTGACAGCTTTCAGCTATAATCTCACAGCTTTCAGCTATTTTTTGCCAAACAGAGCCTAGGACTCCCAACTGGGAGCTTGCTACACTTGCTCTTATGCAAATAAACAGCCCCTAAAGTTGCATCATTCTCATGAATATATCTATTATGTCCTTCCCTACGCTGCGTAACGAATATTAAAATATATCACATGAAATTGCTCCAATGATTGTTGCAATTTTTTCCCCTACAATTAATTATCTCTTCACTGTGATGCAAAAGCTTGCAGATTCCAATTTGAAAGTGAATCGTCTCTGACATCTGTCAAACTCACACCTATAAGACTGTGTGTTCTGTGTGTTAATGATATATAATTTATAAAGTTTTTCGTAAAAAAAAAAATATTCTCAACTTTTTTTTTAAATCAAACTGCCTAGGAAATAAATTTAAACAGAATTAGTGGATACATTATTATATGCTGCAGTTGGTAAAGACATTAGCATGAGACTGACTACAGTTTTCCATCTCAAATCGTTGATGATTGAATCAATATAGCAACACTCAATCATTACACTACAAAAGGACATAAATGATATCACACCGTATATTTAACTAATTATGTAGACAGAGATTGGTCATCACAATAAAACGATAATAATCATTACTTTTCAAAAAAATTTGATATAGAATTCGAAGGCAAATTGTATGCCAAGCAATACTAAAATTCAAAGTGCACATAATAAAACCAAGTGGTAGTGTTGAATTCAAAAGCAATAGGTGCAACCAAATATAGACCTGTAGTCTCTCTCTCCAATCATTTCTCACTACCAACCACTCTCAATATCAGAAATATTTTGGAAAAAGAAGTACGAATCAGGGACCTAAGGATGCAGAGCAATTTGAGATTTTCCACCTTTTTTGAGATTAAAAAAAAAAAATAATAAAAAAAATTGGCTTCACACTCGGCACAATTTATTTGTAGATCAACCACCATTTCAATGTGCATAATAATATCTAATAGGAGTATGGTAAACAAGTTACAACAAATGAGATTCTCCCCGATCACATTACATGTGATATATCTCGAATTATTAAACAATAACAACACAACTCTTCAAGTGCTTGCAGTAACTTTGGATATTCACAATAGCTTTAGGGAGGTAAAAACATTAGTCTCAAAGGAACTCGAAACGCATTAAGAGTTTGACATGATTCAGTTTTTCTCCCTTTCGATTGCAAAGAGGGATTGCTCGAATCCCAGACCTTAACTCCCAAACCGGCAAGCAAGTTTGGCCACCAAAATCATCTCCTTTGTTGAGGTCATATTCGTGTACTTCAATCCGAAGCAAGGCCAACTCGGGTACAGTCAATGGAAATGTGAACTCTTCATCCCAAAATGGAGCCCAGTTATCCTCAATTGCCTTGGTTCTCATCATTACTGTGTCAGCTGATACTCCAGCTATTCCAATCTGTGCAAAATAAGTTATAATTTGTGCATGTTTCAAGTTCAGTATTTTTAAATGAAGACTGTTACATTTTGCTGAATATGAATCTCTCCATTTGCAAAGTTTTTGTATGATCTTTTACTGTTTAGTTAAGAACAGGAAACAAGTTAAAATGGTCGTCGCAATTTGCAGCAATTTTCTGCAGATACACACCCTGAGGGAATGTTTTTTATTATTTTACTCTCAGGGTATCTATTTGTCAAAAAAAAAAAACAATATTCTCTTCCTCTGAAGTGTGAATGTGTCAAAAAATGCAGAAGGGGTGGGTCTATTTGCAAATATAAAACTAGAGTAGTAAGTTCAATACATCAATATTACAGGGGTCTATCTGCAATTAACCCTAAATTTTAAGGTTGTGCCTAGTGGGGTTCATATGCGAGTTAAATCACATTTGAAAGAAGTAGATAAAGTAATGAACTCAATAAGAAGTTGGATTCACCATCTAATAGGTTAACTTTTAGAATTAATTCGATTTTCAACATATATTTAAGCTCTGTTTAACTCCCACAAGGTCTGTATTCTCCCCTACAAATGGTATCAGAATCCAAGTCATGCCTCACGGAGAAAAAAGTGAGTACAATCACGCATAAAAAGAAATACTGCATTAAACATTTAACCTCCTTGTCATAAGTCAAGTCTTACCAATCTTCTAAAATTTCTGTTTTAGTTTGCAACAAAATTTCACCTTGTTAACTACCTTACCCTTGTATAAAAGTCTGGCGGAGAATATTGATCAAAATGTGTACGATGAAAATCCAAGCGCCAACCATCGCCCATATACACCCTCACCTGTGTCAAAATGCATAAACTAGACTAGAATTCAAATTATCAGGCCAAACGAGAGAAATTAACAAAATTTGCAAGTATCTAAGATCACTGACCTTCAAGACCTTTTTAATCGGCAGAGTAGTGTTAGGATTGAAAACCTTACCATCTTGATTAGTATTCAAGAGAAAATCAGGCTTCTTTACATAGCCACATCCTCCATTGGCCCTAAACATTCCATGCACCAACCACAGTGACCTCCCATATCCCTGTTATACAGTATATAAGTCCATTTAAGTATAAGTTTAGTCAATAACAATTATAAGCACTACGTTCCTGATTGTACTGAAGCAGACGCAAAAGATTAGAACACATATTTTCCAGGCATGAAAATATCTTTCAAGCCTCGTTAAGAATGAGAATTGAAGGCAATTATGGGATTTTCCAAGCATTTTTAATAACAGAATAGAATAAAAACATATAGGAAAAAAAACTAAATAAAAGGAAAGCACCTGCATATTTAATGCAACCATCTGAGCACCATGTATCCAACCAAGAACAGGATTGTAATTTGAAGAGGTAACTCGTGTACCTTTTGGATAAATCCTCAAAAGATTCCTCTGTGTGAACCTAGAAACAACGTTTTTTGGAATCTTAATCTTCAATGTTAATGTAGACAAATAAAACAGTAGAATTGAATGATGAATAATATGAATTACCATAATTCCAGTGAACTCTTATCATATCATACTCCCTTTAAAAGCATGAGTTCGGGAAAATCTTTTGGTAGACAAAAATACCCTTGAAATTCAAATACTAATCCATTAAGTAAGAGTGAGTTGATAAATTGATGAATTTTTATTGGATATACATAGTATGAAAATAATGATATAGTTTAAATTAAAATATAAACATGAATGAAATTATTAAATGTCAAATTTACAAATGTATACAAGATGAAGGGCGTGTATGCAAAAACCAAACAAATTAGTGAGACAAATAATGTTCGCCCTAGAGGTCGAGACCAGGAACAACACAGACCTACAAATGTACATAATATGGATGGAGTATTTGCAAAATATACCAAACAAATTAAAGAGATAAAATCGTTCTCAAAATTATAAAAAAGAAAAATTAAAACAGACGACTACGATATGAGGGTACAACGTGACGATTTCTCACTAGCTAAAATTCAAGTAGTTCACGGTACTGCATAATTAGTTTTAAAGTTTAATTATACTCTTATTAATTAAATAGAATTCTATTTACAATTGTTATCCTCTCACATACCAATGTATATAAGTTAAAAAATTACAACGATTTCCATAACACTTTCATCTCCTTCTACAGATATATGTCTTTGTTGTTTTCTTCTTATTAGATTAGATTAGATTATTTTAAAGCAATTAATTATATTGTATATTTAATTTTTTTTTCATATCAAGAAATATCATTAATTTTCACAACATTTTTATCTATTTTCTTCTTATTAGATTGGATTAGATTATTTTAAAGCAATTAATTATATTGTATGTTGATCTTTTTTCAGATTAAAAATTATAATAATTTTTATAATACTTTTATCTCTTTCACCAGGTATGTGCATTTGTTATTTTCTTCTTATTAGATTAGATTAGAGCGTTTAAAATTATAAATTATAAAATTGTAATAATTTTCACATCATTTTCATTTATTTTTTTTCTTATTAGATTAGATTAGATTATTTTAAAATAATTATTTATATTGTATGTTTGATCTTTTTTTTCAGATCACAAAGTTCAATTATACTATTATTATTTAAACAGATATTGTTTGTATAAAAATCAAAGAGAATCTTACACATATTTTAGATCTCAATTCCAATTGTAATATTTACACATGGGTGATGATTAAAATAAATTTTATGTATGAGCTTAACTTATATAATACTACTTTAACCGGATTAGATAATTTAATTTTTTTAACACCTAAACTCTTCCACAAAATCAAAAAGAGAGTAGCAATGCTATAGCTATATATATCCACAGGACCGCAGATATATTGAAAATGAATGAACAAAACCACACAAATAAAAATCATATTAATTACCCACACGCACCCACTATTTTCAAAACCATCATTTTCCATCTCCATCTCTATCTCCATGTATAATATATCCACATACCAAATTAAGCTGCTGGAGTTTCTCCTCACCAACTACACCATTGATCAACCCGTCTTTTTCCTTTGTACTTAAATTGTATAACATTCATTGCAATGAGGACTCACATGGACCCAACAAAAAAATATACCAGACCTTGTAGTTAGTTAATAAAATGAGATCCTATCATTAGAAATAAGCTAAGTAAAGATTAATAATTCTTAAGAATGTACTACGTTCCCCTAGCTTCCACAGGAATCTTGTTAGTTGTTTATTCCTGACCCCAAGAGATTTTCAAAATTAATCATCTATTTCATAAATTTTTAAAAAATGTTTAAATAAAATTTATGACAAACATAATAATCCATGCTTATAGATTTTAACTCAAAATGAACCTGACTTATTTTATAGTAAGAAAATAAATAATTTTTTTTGATATTTAACCACGTGCATTGCACATGCACAAGAACTAGTATTAAAAAACACACCACTTAATCATTTAAAGAAACTACCCCACAAACCAAATGCTCATTTGAGATACCTGATAATTTCAGGACCATGAGAAACTATAGCCTTCGCAAAAGATTGCTCACTTAAGCTGAGGCGTGAAACTTTATGAGGATCTACTTTTAATGAATCACTCAGTTCTTTGTGTGAACCTTTCTTAGCAGAGATAGCGATAAGATGCTTATATTCAGGTGCAGTTGGCTGATGATAAAATTGATCACCATCATCATGGTCCTCCTCTCCATGTTCATCATGATCATGCTCGATCTGAAAGCAATCAAGAAGTATAAAATAAAGTTGTAGATATCTAGATAAATATTAAATCTCTAATAAATCACATTAAATTCACCTTATGTTCAAAATCACCATCAGATTCACCCCAAGGTTCCTCTTCGGATTTCTTTTGCAGTTCATGCTCTTTGTCCTTCATACTTTTGGATTCAAGGAATTCCTTTGGTGGTTTGGTTGAGATTATAATCCTCAACTTTAAATCTTCTGGTGAAGGAAACTCCTCTAAAGATTCAGATTTTGGATAGAACAGCATTTCTCCAAAAGTTTCAATAAGAATCTAGAAGATAAAAGATATACCATGATCATTAAATGGCATATTGAAACTGACATAAAAAGATTCCGAAATTATCATTTACCTGTGCTACTTTAGCCTGAAGATCTGGAGTTAAGTGATCTTCCAATGTAATTATAACTGGATATGGAGATGCAACAAATGCATTTTCCCTTATGGACCTTACGCATTTGCTGAATTCCGCAGGAGTGGTTAATGTCCTACAATGAAGAATTAACTCAAGTTACTTCCAACTTAAAGGATCTCCTAGGATTAAGGATTAGCTCAAGTTACCTCCATGTTAATAAATTAAAAAAAAACAGCATCACAGATGCAGTCATTCATTGGCTAGGATATAGTACACAAGACAAAGCATGTAACTAGAAAGTACATGACAAACAGCAGTACTAGTTAACTGATACGTGATTGCATCAGATGGATTTACACACACGTGCCACACACACACACGCATGCGACAAATTGCAGACAAACCGCTGTGGTAGAAAGGTAGTCACAGAAAACCACATATATTAATACTCTTAAGGTCCCCTCAGTTGCCCATGCGGACTATCAGATTGTTGCAATTTTGTTCATCACTATCAGAAGCTTTTAGCCATTGCAGCGAAAGCAAATGATGAAAACAATTACCCAAAAGACAGAGGTTAAGTCGATAGTTTCAACTTTAGTTAGATCAGATCATATTAGACTAGGTTTACAATAGGGGTAAGTTTAAGAGTTTATATAATAAAAAAGAAATAAAAGGATAAGAAACTTATAGTCATAGTTCATATGTACCATTCATGCGCAACATCCTTCTCAGGATCTGTTTTGTAATTCCTTTGAAAGGGTTATTTTTAAATCTTTTAAGTGAAGCCTGTACTTAGGCTTAAGAATCAAGTACTGTATACCTTTCAGATAGTAAATGAATTAAGTTATGTGCCTATGAAGAGTGTTAGAATTAATATAAAACTATAATCCTTGATCCTCACTATAACTTCGGAGTTTTGGTGTAATTGTTAGAGGAACTAAATTTAAGATGGTATCAGAGCAACCCAGGTTCAAATCCCACCGGCCACGAATTAAATGCGGATTTTCTAAAAATTGACACCGCTACTTGAGTCCATATTTCGACCAATAAAAAAGGGCGCTCGACCTGCGGGGGCGTGTTAGAATTAATATAAAACTATAATCCTTGATCCTCACCATAACTTTGAAGTTTTGGTGTAATGGTTAGAGGAACTAAATTTAAGATGGTATCAGAGCAACCCAAGTTCAAATCCCACCGGCCATGAATTTTAAGCAGATTTTCTAAAATTGACACCGCTGCGTGAGTCTCTTTTTTAGCCTATAAAAAAGGGCGTTCATCCTGCGGGGGCATGTTAGAATTAATATAAAACTATAATCTTTGATCCTCACTATAACTTCGGAGTTTTGGTGTAATGGTTAGATGAACTAAATTTAGGAAAGAGTATCTCGCTTCTAATTTTAATTTTCTCTACATCGTTTTCTTTCATCAAAGATAAACCAAAACATAGGAGCAACATAATTATTCTAACCTTCTCTGAGGCGTGCATCATTCTTCAATATCTAACCAAAAAATCATCGGAAAACTCATGGTTTGTTAAAACTTGCGAGTTCATTTTTCAAACCAGAAATGTCATTGGTTCCACTGAGTAAAACTTATTTACCTGCCATGACGAACTTCCACCTCAGTGTTTGTAGAATTTGGCCATATATCCAGTTCAATAACTCTCACTCCTCTTTGCAATGCGTTGATTACAGGGACATCGCTAGCATCACTACTAAGTTGATTGCCTGTTAAGTAGGAGTTATGACCCGTATATATGAAATAGTGGGATAATGGAGCTGTCATGTCTTGATAAACCTGAAAATAAATGTTAATATGCAAGCATCATAATACTCTGCTACTTGAAATAATTTGAAAAAAAAAGAAGACATAAGAAGGAAACTGCAGACAGATTTATTAAAAATTCCACAAATTGGAAAAAAAAAATCATAACCCAGTAAAGTTAGGAAGTATTTCATCCATGTTTTTGTTATGGAAAAACTATTGATGCAGCAAAATTTTCTGTCAAGGAGGTAATTATGATATTCTGACAGTTTGCTACATCTCATCCATTTATTCCAAAACTACTCCATTAAGCTAATTACTCCATGCTAACTGAGAATTTTTGAATTTCTTCACCAAAAAATTTAGAACATATTGACCAAACAACAAAGAATTTTTGGAACATAGCTAGCAAACAACAAAGAATTAGCTGAAAATACTTTCTTCAGTAGAGATAAAGTTAATATGCTAGCTGAACAGTGCAATTTCTCAAATGGTTTTCATTTCCGAGCTGTGGAAGATAAAGAAAAGCACCAAGAATAAATCCTACAGCTCATGCATGAGAATCTAATGAGTAGCATTAAACCAAGTTAGAACCTTTCTAGAATGAGAGAGAGAATATTTCAATTGATTTGGATATCTTACTTTAGCACAACATAAACAAAGTAAATTGGAATCAGGAACTAACTTGATTGATGCACAATTTCAGAACACTTAACAAAATCTCAAAAATCATCCAAGCATAAAGACCAAATTTTTTTTAAAAAAATGAATAAATTACACTTAAATACCCTATTGTTTACCCGATGTTGCACATAAATACCATCATTGTAAATGACTTCACATAAATAACCTAAAATTTCTAAAAGTCGCACTTTAGTACCCTAGGTTATGCAAACATAAAAGTTTATGAATTTCCCTCTAAAAATTCTCATGCAGCACTCACCTACTACTTTTAGGCCATTTTAATCTTTCGTTTTTGTTAAGTTTATGGTTAAACCTATCAAAATCCTATTTTAAACCTACCTGATTCTATCTTAAAATTTCAAAAATTTCACCAAATCATGACATTTCAAAATTTCACCTCCTCTCATATTCTATCAAAATTTAAACTTTTCTATATAAACCTCCATAACTCCAAATGCCCATATCCACCAACGCATCAAAATCTCAACTTCACACCCAAAAAAGAAAAAAATAATAATAAGAAATAAATAAAATCAAAACACCAACTTACTCCAAGAGATGGATTAAGAGGTGGGTTATCATCACCAGCTAAATACCGAAAAAACCCATCAAGATTAAACCCCTTCTTCTGGAACACGTGCTTGGAATCCCTCGACTCCAAGATTTTCTTTGCCGTTTCCCTCGTAGCGCTAGTTTCGCCCTGGACCTCGACCAAGAACCGCTGCAGGTGGTCCAGGCCCATGAACCCATTATCGGAGTAACTGCTGAAGAGATCCTTAATAGGCTTTGGTGGGCCGTCTGTAGCGCCCCGGAACTTTCGGTGGAAGCACCAGCAAACTCTGAAGGTTGTCATGGAGGGAGGGGCTAAATGTAAGTTTTGAGAAGTTTAGGAGGATGGTTTAAATAGTGAGGTTGAGTGGGCTGTGAAGGGGGATCGTCTGCTTTGCTTCTTCTGCATGGTTGGGTTTTGAATACGGATGGTTTTTTTTTTTTTGGTTCTTTTGTCTTATGGTAGACTTGATTCTGACTGTGGGGTCCGCTTAAGAAAAATACCTTAAGGGGCTGTTTGGTTGGTTTCTTTTGCCCCTGATTCCCTGCCAAAACTGACAGCAGCTTTCTTGTTCTTGCAAAAACGCCTTTTTTAGAGGCGTTTTGACAAGAAAGCTGCCAAAATTGAAAGCAAACTGTCAGTTTTGACAGGGAATCAGGGACAAAAGAAACCAACCAAACAGCCCCTAAGAATCCAAAATATGGGAGTGAGTGAGTTGTCCCACCCTATTGCATAATGAGCTGACCCCTATTGCATAATGAACTGACCAACTCATTATGCAATAGGGAGGGGACACCTCACATGTCCCTTCCAATGGTCTCATATTTTGGGTCCCTGTAGCAGCGCTCCCTACTTAATAGAGTTCACATTTGTAGGTGGCGGGTGAAATGTTGGGTGTCCACACGTTTATGACTGTAATGTTATTTTTTCTCTATCTTAGTTGGCTTCGTCAACTTGGAATAACAGAAGTAATTTATCTTAATAGAAAAAGGGGAAAAAAAGGATAGAAATGTAAAAACAATTTTGGCTAAATCGCACTTAAATGCCCTATAGTTTCACCAATCCTATACTGAAGTGACCTTTACTTTAAAACCGAGTAAATAAATGCCCCGTAGTTATAGATAAATGCTCTAAAGTTTTAAAATGTTACACTTTGGTGTCCTCTTATTTACTTAATGTTACAGATTGATGCTCTCTTGTTAACCTAATATTGTTTATAAATACATTCAGTTTGTAAATAACCTCATTTTAATATCCTAAAGTTTCTAAATATAGCACTTTAGTATCCTGTGTTATATGATATTCTTGGATACATAGAGAAATGCTAACACCATCTAGGATTTTTTAACTTTGGGGCATTGATCTACAATATTTAAATACTTTTGGATATTTATTTTCTCGGTTTTAAAATAGGAGTTACTTAAATATAATGTTGGTGAAACTATAGAGCATTTAAATGCAATTTAGCCAACAATTTTTGGTGGTTGCATTATAAGTCAACTTAATTTCATAAACTCAATTTGATCAACCTTTTATAGTGCAACTGCAAACCCAACAGTACTAGATACTGTTGGTCATTTTTTTTAAAAGAAAAATTAAGGAAAAATGAGAGGATAAAAAATGTTTACATATTATTTTAGTGCAAATGGTAATTAATAAATCTGAATTTCTTGTGAGTTAACTTCTAAAAACTAGTCAATTTCAAGATAACAAATTGGGATGAGAATCTTCTCTTTTGGAGGCAAATCGCATGTCAATCTTCTCATGGTCCTAGCTTGTCGAAAATAATTTGATTCTTATTCTTTTCTTTTCTAAAGATTTTTTTTCTACGCAAGCTATACTCACATGTTTTTGAAAAAAAGTATTTTCAATCTTTTTTAAATCAAAATTGTATATGTTCTTAGAACAATGCTGCCAACTAGACTAAAACTTACTACAGAGAAAAAGCTTAGATTGGAGCATTAATTATCACATATTGTCTTAAATAAGGTCTTAAATCTTCTACTAACACTAGTCTTATTTTACCTGACTGAAGGTAGATCTCATGTCAATACTGTGGAGAAGAATTGGAAAAAGCAGATTTTTGGTCATAAGTCGACTCATGCACAGGCATAAGTCGACTTATGGTAAGTCGACTTATGTTGGTGCATGAGTCGACTTACGTTCTGCTCTGGATTGTTGGTTTTTTGCTCTGCCAAGTCGACTTATCAGGTCTGATAAGTCGACTTATGATCTCTTCTCCAGTTGCTGTTTTTCGCTCTGCCAAGTCGACTTATGCAGACTGATAAGTCGACTTATGACGGGTTTTTTGGAAAGTTCAGGTTCCTATTTGCAGTCTGTTTGGGTTTCTGTTTTGGTATAAATACCAATACGATTTGAGGGTTTTGTGAGGAGAGTTTTGGGGTTTTGGAGCACAGAAAAAGAGAGATCTTTCTGAGCTATTTGTTAGGGTTATTGGTTGAGAGATTGAGAGATTTGTTGGTGAGATTAGTTGGTTCGTTTGAGCGATTTGTAATCTCAATTTGTACTCTCCTTCTCTATTAGTGAAAACCCACCCCCTTCTTGCCCCGTGGACGTAGGCAATTTGCCGAACCACGTAAAACCTTGGTGTTTGTGTTTTGTTTGGTCTTTCTCTCGGCGTTCGTTGGTTTGGTTTCTCAAAGCATCAGTCACAACAAGTGGTATCAGAGCACGGGCAACGCTTGGGCTATTTGGAGGAGTAGATCGCTTTGGAAGTTCATCTAGGGCTTCGTTTGGTGATAAAGGTGGGATCTTTTTTTGTAAAAATCTCGTCTTTTTCAGTTTGGATCTATTTCTCGTTTGTTTCCGCATTGGTTTGGTGGTGCCTTGAGGATTATGGCCGAGAAAGAAGGAGTTGTGGGCAGTACTTCCGGCGTGAAGACCGTCCAAAGCTTGAATATCCACTCAATGAAGATTGATGTGGAAAAGTTCAATGGCACAAACAATTTTGGACTTTGGCGATGCGAAGTCATGGATGCGCTCAACGCGCAAAATTTGGAAGATACGTTGGAGTTGGACGGGAAACCGGACAACATTGATGAGAAGGTTTGGAAAAAGATGAATCGAACGGCGTGTGGTGTGATTAGGTCTTGTCTCACTCAAGATCTAAAGTATGATGTGATCAATGAGACTTCTGCAAAGAAGATTTGGGAGATCCTTGAGAGCAAGTATTTGACCAAGAGTGTGGAGAATCGCTTGCATTTGAAGAGGAGGCTTTACCGCTTCCAGTTGAAGAAAGGAACCTCCATTGGTGATCACATGAACCACTACACGAAGCTTCTTGCGGATTTGGCGAATGTGGATGTTAAGATTGAAGATGAGGACAAGGCGTTGTTGCTATTGAGTTCCTTGCCTGACGAGGAATATGAGACCTTCGTTCTTACTCTTATTAATGGGAAGGCATCTCTTTCGTATAGTGAGGTCACCGCTGCACTTGTGAATTATCAGCTTCGAAAGAAGGATAAGGAGACTTCGTTTGAGCCGGTAGCGGGGGCGTTGGTCGCAAGAGCAAAGGGTCCAAACCGTAGTGGGAGGTCGCAGTCTAGAGGGGCACATCTTGGAGTTCGTAAGAATCAATGTGCCTTTTGCAAAGAAGATGGACATTGGAAAGCCGATTGCCCAAAGTTAGTTGATCGAGCCGGGAAGAATAAGGGAAAAGCTATTCAAGCTTCAGAGGCGAATGTTGTCAAGGCTAGTGGCAACGATTCAGATTCGGATTCTTCGGGCTACTCGTTATCTGCACTGCCGTCAGTTTGTGTTGCCTACTCTACAGAGTGGATATTGGATTCGGGTGCTACATACCACATTTGCCCTAGGAGGGATTGGTTCTCCAGCTTTCAGGAGTTGGAAAGAGGGGATTTCGTGCTCATGGGGAATGATCACAAATGCTCTATTGGTGGTATTGGTACTGTTCGGATCAGGATGAGTGACGGGGTGATTCGGGAGTTGGTTGGAGTGAGGTTCGTTCCTCAGTTGAAGAAGAACATCATTTCACTTGGAGCTTTGGAGGCAGCTGGCTATAGGGTGACCTTGGCGGATGCACGCTTGAAGGTTACATTTGGGTCCATGATTGTGATGAAGGGCGTCAGAAGAAGAAATTTGTATTATTTGCACGGAAGCACGGTGATTGATAGGGAAATGACGACTTCATCAGATTCGGCTAGACTGTGGCATTGTTTGGTGCTGGGGTATATGATTGGTAATACCGTGCATTGGTTGTTGAGGAGTGCTATGACCTGCAGATTGAAGTCCTGTGAGCACATTAGGATGAGCGAGACCGTGGTGGAGTTTGGCACTTCTATCCATCGAGCGAGGGGTCTTTTTGGAGGTGTTCAGTCAGGCATTTGGGGGCCTTCCAAGGAGGCATCATTGGGAGGTAATCGTATCTTGGTTTCCACAGTTGGTGATTGTTCTAGGCATTATTGGGTCGCGACCAGTTCCCGTTGGTGTAAAGTCCTAGAAGTCAACAACAATTGGAAGAAGTGTATTGGCAGAAAGGTAACTCATTGTTTCAGCTTTGGTAGGGGTCCTTTCTTGCGTTGGTGCCGAGCTCACGGCAATAGGAGACACTTCATTGGTGTGGAGACTTTGGGGCGACGAGATGAGATGACAGTTTCGATGGGTCGTTCCTTTCTGGAGGAGGATCGGCGTTTGATGTCGAGCATTGGCATTGGTGTGCGGGCTTCGACATATTTGGGTCATCTTATGCATAGGTCGCCGACTGCTGCTTTAGGAGTTATTAGATCTGGTGGAGCTGCTTCAGATTTTGGGTCGCGTCGGATATTTGGATACCCAGCATTTGGTCACATCGTGGATGTGAGATTGGATCCGATTGCGCGTTTGGGGTTCGGAGGCTCAGTTGATTATCGTTTGGGAGCTTCTGATTTTGTTCTGAGCAGGTATGTCACTTTTGACTCTCGGCAGGTGGAGAGTGTTGATCAGGTCATTTGGATATCGCAGCAGGTGGAGAGTGATGCTACTCCACGTTGGGTGGAGATTACTCCACATACTCCAGATCATACTGCGTCATTTGGGATTCCAGCTAAGGTGACACAGGTTGGAGATCATTTGGTTTTGGATGCAGATGATGGATTGGTTTTGGATTCAGTTGCAGCTGGTAGATATAGTTTGGATATGGCCATTGGTTTACCTCAGGTGGAGGTGTTTGATTTGTCTCAATTTGGGGTCATTGGGAATACTATCAGTTGCAGATCGTTTGGTGATATTGGAGAAGAGTTGCAGACTTTTCTATTTGATTGAGGGCCTTTGGAGGCCGTTTGGGTGAACTACGTGAAGGCTTGATTCCTTGGGCAAAGGATACGTAGGCAGTCATTTTGATGCAGCCGATTTGGTGAGCGACATCGACATTTGGGGTGAGTGTTCACACTCTCATTTGGGTCTCAGCATGTGAGGCATTTGTTTGGTTGGTGTCGGCTCAGTTTTGGGAAAACTTCGCCGAGGTGGAGAATTGTGGAGAAGAATTGGAAAAAGCAGATTTTTGGTCATAAGTCGACTCATGCACAGGCATAAGTCGACTTATGGTAAGTCGACTTATGTTGGTGCATGAGTCGACTTACGTTCTGCTCTGGATTGTTGGTTTTTTGCTCTGCCAAGTCGACTTATCAGGTCTGATAAGTCGACTTATGATCTCTTCTCCAGTTGCTGTTTTTCGCTCTGCCAAGTCGACTTATGCAGACTGATAAGTCGACTTATGACGGGTTTTTTGGAAAGTTCAGGTTCCTATTTGCAGTCTGTTTGGGTTTCTGTTTTGGTATAAATACCAATACGATTTGAGGGTTTTGTGAGGAGAGTTTTGGGGTTTTGGAGCACAGAAAAAGAGAGATCTTTCTGAGCTATTTGTTAGGGTTATTGGTTGAGAGATTGAGAGATTTGTTGGTGAGATTAGTTGGTTCGTTTGAGCGATTTGTAATCTCAATTTGTACTCTCCTTCTCTATTAGTGAAAACCCACCCCCTTCTTGCCCCGTGGACGTAGGCAATTTGCCGAACCACGTAAAACCTTGGTGTTTGTGTTTTGTTTGGTCTTTCTCTCGGCGTTCGTTGGTTTGGTTTCTCAAAGCATCAGTCACAACAAGTGGTATCAGAGCACGGGCAACGCTTGGGCTATTTGGAGGAGTAGATCGCTTTGGAAGTTCATCTAGGGCTTCGTTTGGTGATAAAGGTGGGATCTTTTTTTGTAAAAATCTCGTCTTTTTCAGTTTGGATCTATTTCTCGTTTGTTTCCGCATTGGTTTGGTGGTGCCTTGAGGATTATGGCCGAGAAAGAAGGAGTTGTGGGCAGTACTTCCGGCGTGAAGACCGTCCAAAGCTTGAATATCCACTCAATGAAGATTGATGTGGAAAAGTTCAATGGCATAAATAATTTTGGACTTTGGCGATGCGAAGTCATGGATGCGCTCAACGCGCAAAATTTGGAAGATACGTTTGAGTTGGACGGGAAACCGGACAACATTGATGAGAAGGTTTGGAAAAAGATGAATCGAACGGCGTGTGGTGTGATTAGGTCTTGTCTCACTCAAGATCTAAAGTATGATGTGATCAATGAGACTTCTGCAAAGAAGATTTGGGAGATCCTTGAGAGCAAGTATTTGACCAAGAGTGTGGAGAATCGCTTGCATTTGAAGAGGAGGCTTTACCGCTTCCAGTTGAAGAAAGGAACCTCCATTGGTGATCACATGAACCACTACACGAAGCTTCTTGCGGATTTGGCGAATGTGGATGTTAAGATTGAAGATGAGGACAAGGCGTTGTTGCTATTGAGTTCCTTGCCTGACGAGGAATATGAGACCTTCGTTCTTACTCTTATTAATGGGAAGGCATCTCTTTCGTATAGTGAGGTCACCGCTGCACTTGTGAATTATCAGCTTCGAAAGAAGGATAAGGAGACTTCGTTTGAGCCGGTAGCGGGGGCGTTGGTCGCAAGAGCAAAGGGTCCAAACCGTAGTGGGAGGTCGCAGTCTAGAGGGGCACATCTTGGAGTTCGTAAGAATCAATGTGCCTTTTGCAAAGAAGATGGACATTGGAAAGCCGATTGCCCAAAGTTAGTTGATCGAGCCGGGAAGAATAAGGGAAAAGCTATTCAAGCTTCAGAGGCGAATGTTGTCAAGGCTAGTGGCAACGATTCAGATTCGGATTCTTCGGGCTACTCGTTATCTGCACTGCCGTCAGTTTGTGTTGCCTACTCTACAGAGTGGATATTGGATTCGGGTGCTACATACCACATTTGCCCTAGGAGGGATTGGTTCTCCAGCTTTCAGGAGTTGGAAAGAGGGGATTTCGTGCTCATGGGGAATGATCACAAATGCTCTATTGGTGGTATTGGTACTGTTCGGATCAGGATGAGTGACGGGGTGATTCGGGAGTTGGTTGGAGTGAGGTTCGTTCCTCAGTTGAAGAAGAACATCATTTCACTTGGAGCTTTGGAGGCAGCTGGCTATAGGGTGACCTTGGCGGATGCACGCTTGAAGGTTACATTTGGGTCCATGATTGTGATGAAGGGCGTCAGAAGAAGAAATTTGTATTATTTGCACGGAAGCACGGTGATTGATAGGGAAATGACGACTTCATCAGATTCGGCTAGACTGTGGCATTGTTTGGTGCTGGGGTATATGATTGGTAATACCGTGCATTGGTTGTTGAGGAGTGCTATGACCTGCAGATTGAAGTCCTGTGAGCACATTAGGATGAGCGAGACCGTGGTGGAGTTTGGCACTTCTATCCATCGAGCGAGGGGTCTTTTTGGAGGTGTTCAGTCAGGCATTTGGGGGCCTTCCAAGGAGGCATCATTGGGAGGTAATCGTATCTTGGTTTCCACAGTTGGTGATTGTTCTAGGCATTATTGGGTCGCGACCAGTTCCCGTTGGTGTAAAGTCCTAGAAGTCAACAACAATTGGAAGAAGTGTATTGGCAGAAAGGTAACTCATTGTTTCAGCTTTGGTAGGGGTCCTTTCTTGCGTTGGTGCCGAGCTCACGGCAATAGGAGACACTTCATTGGTGTGGAGACTTTGGGGCGACGAGATGAGATGACAGTTTCGATGGGTCGTTCCTTTCTGGAGGAGGATCGGCGTTTGATGTCGAGCATTGGCATTGGTGTGCGGGCTTCGACATATTTGGGTCATCTTATGCATAGGTCGCCGACTGCTGCTTTAGGAGTTATTAGATCTGGTGGAGCTGCTTCAGATTTTGGGTCGCGTCGGATATTTGGATACCCAGCATTTGGTCACATCGTGGATGTGAGATTGGATCCGATTGCGCGTTTGGGGTTCGGAGGCTCAGTTGATTATCGTTTGGGAGCTTCTGATTTTGTTCTGAGCAGGTATGTCACTTTTGACTCTCGGCAGGTGGAGAGTGTTGATCAGGTCATTTGGATATCGCAGCAGGTGGAGAGTGATGCTACTCCACGTTGGGTGGAGATTACTCCACATACTCCAGATCATACTGCGTCATTTGGGATTCCAGCTAAGGTGACACAGGTTGGAGATCATTTGGTTTTGGATGCAGATGATGGATTGGTTTTGGATTCAGTTGCAGCTGGTAGATATAGTTTGGATATGGCCATTGGTTTACCTCAGGTGGAGGTGTTTGATTTGTCTCAATTTGGGGTCATTGGGAATACTATCAGTTGCAGATCGTTTGGTGATATTGGAGAAGAGTTGCAGACTTTTCTATTTGATTGAGGGCCTTTGGAGGCCGTTTGGGTGAACTACGTGAAGGCTTGATTCCTTGGGCAAAGGATACGTAGGCAGTCATTTTGATGCAGCCGATTTGGTGAGCGACATCGACATTTGGGGTGAGTGTTCACACTCTCATTTGGGTCTCAGCATGTGAGGCATTTGTTTGGTTGGTGTCGGCTCAGTTTTGGGAAAACTTCGCCGAGGTGGAGAATTGTGGAGAAGAATTGGAAAAAGCAGATTTTTGGTCATAAGTCGACTCATGCACAGGCATAAGTCGACTTATGGTAAGTCGACTTATGTTGGTGCATGAGTCGACTTACGTTCTGCTCTGGATTGTTGGTTTTTTGCTCTGCCAAGTCGACTTATCAGGTCTGATAAGTCGACTTATGATCTCTTCTCCAGTTGCTGTTTTTCGCTCTGCCAAGTCGACTTATGCAGACTGATAAGTCGACTTATGACGGGTTTTTTGGAAAGTTCAGGTTCCTATTTGCAGTCTGTTTGGGTTTCTGTTTTGGTATAAATACCAATACGATTTGAGGGTTTTGTGAGGAGAGTTTTGGGGTTTTGGAGCACAGAAAAAGAGAGATCTTTCTGAGCTATTTGTTAGGGTTATTGGTTGAGAGATTGAGAGATTTGTTGGTGAGATTAGTTGGTTCGTTTGAGCGATTTGTAATCTCAATTTGTACTCTCCTTCTCTATTAGTGAAAACCCACCCCCTTCTTGCCCCGTGGACGTAGGCAATTTGCCGAACCACGTAAAACCTTGGTGTTTGTGTTTTGTTTGGTCTTTCTCTCGGCGTTCGTTGGTTTGGTTTCTCAAAGCATCAGTCACAACAAATACAATAACCACAAATTAGGGGTCATTTATTAGACAGTAAATTTTCCCATTAGACATGGACTATTCAGTTGAGAGAGTAAATCACTTTTTCGCCCTTAATTTAGAGTATGATTTATCCGCACATGATTCTTGCGTGACATCTCAACCTAAACCAAGTTAGAAGTAAGTAACAATTTTCTCAAACAAATTCAAAATGCATGATAAGTTTTACAGGTTTAAACTCATTCCCCTTGCGATCAAACAAAGGCACTGCGCGAATTCCTGGTCTCAGCTCAAAAATCGGCAAGCAAGTTTGCCCTCCGAACCCATCTTTTTCAGCCACGTTACACTTGTGTACTCTGATTTGAAGCAATGCAAGTTCAGGAACCCTGAGTTCAAATTCGAACTCCTCGTTCCAAATTGGTGTCCAATCTTGTATTCTCTTCGTTTTGTTAGCAATTGTATCTGATGGAACTCCGACGATCCCTACCTGAAAAATTAATTCAGCAGTTCATGCGAAGTTTTCATCAATAAGTTAACATAGAGATTAATCTGATGTATTTTGTTACCTTTGTAGATAAGATTGGTGGGAGTGATGTACCCATATTAGTCTGATTGAGCTTTGTATGCCAACCATATCCCAGGTAAATCTTGACCTGTTGAAAGTGCAAAAGTAAAGGTTAACATTGAGATTTTACTTTAAACAATTGAGTATCCCTAAGCAATTTGTTTAACCTTCAGGATCTTCTTTACTGGTAAATTTTCCATAGGATTGAAGATCTCATCATTAGGATCGAACTTCGTCAAAAAATCAGGTTTCTTTATGTAACCACACCCTCCATTGGCTCTAAAGAATCCATGCATTAGCCACAACGACCTTCCATAGCCCTATGAGAGAAAAATGCAAACAAATCATATTGTGTCAAAATAATTTTTTAAAGGTGTTTATGATTTAATTATATATAAGCTTCTGTGTAAATTGCAATAAATTAAAATTACAAGACACAAACATCATCCAAAACATGATGTGAGATGCTTAAACATTTCTAAAGAAGACTCTCAAATGTGCAACCTGAACTCTAATTCCAAGCCAGGTGGGAACATCTTTCATAATTTTGTTACTTAAGAACAAAAATCGAAGCATATGACTCTCAGCAATTTTACCGAAGAAATTTATAGAAGTTAAAGAAAAGATGCAAATTACCTGCATATTCAAGGCAACCATCTGTGCGCCATAGATCCAACCAAGGATTGGATTGTAATTGGAAGAGTTAACACGTGTCATTTTTGGATAAATCCTCAAAATATTCTTCTGAGTAAACCTACGAACATTACAAATTAAATCTTGGAATTTAATTTTAATACAAAAGAAGGCACACAAAGTACACAACATCAAATCAAGGACATGTTTTTTACCTGATAACTTCTTCTCCACATGTAACTATAGCCTTTTCGAACAACAGCTCATTTAAGCTTAGACGTGTAGGCCTACGCTCATCAAACTCTAAGGAATCCTTCATGTTTTCTTTTCGTTTTTTAGAGCAAATTGAAATCATACGTTTGTATTCATGAGTAACCTGTCTCTGAGACATTTGTTCACTAGCATCATTAGCATCATTATGTTCAGCATTGAAATATGGTTTTGGTGGTTTTGGTGGTTTTGTTGAAATCATTATCCGAAATTTCAGTTCCTCAGGTGAAGGAAACTCCTGTAAGGATTCTGAAGTCGGATAAAACAGTGAGTCTCCGAAAATTTCCTTGAGAATCTGGAAGATAAATTATGCATCACAATACGAAATAAAATGAACTGATAAATAGAAGTGAGAGGAGATTATTGTTGGAAGTGATTTGTCACCTCTGCAGCTTTAGCTTGAAGATCTGAAGTGAGATGGTCTTCCAGTGTAATTATAACTGGGTACGGAGATGCCACAAAAGCATGCTTTTTTATGGAATTCAAGCATTTGACGAACTCCACCGGAGTCGTTAATGTCCTGTGATCAAGAGAAAACTTGTATCAATTTCAATTAACAGTGCCTTGCACCTTTAAATTATCTAAAAATTACATGATGAATAAATTGTTGGTTTGTTAGATTAAGCTTTAATACAATGTGGTAGTCAACATGGTGTCAGAGCAGAACATACTAATCAGACCCATTGCAACTGAGCACAAACCTACATAAATTAGTGAATTTCAATTATTTTCTTTCTGTCAGTTTTAAGCCAATGAAGTCATAGTCAACATTTATGCACGATAATTCAAACCTTCTGCATTTTCTTTAACTTGCAATTTATCCGTGACGTATGAACATCAAGTAGATTGACAAGGAGTATCTATAATTTCAAATCATAACTTAAGTTATTACCATCGTAGCTAGCGCTAGAATTTTTATTTCACAACATCACGCATAAGTATGTCATAAATGATTAATCGCGAATTCTTCAATGAATAAAATAGCATACCTTCCATGACGAACTTCAATATCAGTTTTCGTAGAATTAGGCCACAAATCCAGTTCGATAACTCTTACTCCTCTATTCAATGCTTTGATTATAGGAATATCGCTAGATTCGCTACTGAGTTGGTTACCCCTCAAGTATGAATTATGGCCTGTATATATGAAGTATTGTGACAATGGAGCATTCATGTCATGATGAACCTGAAATTAACAAGCAAATGTTACTTCTTGTACTTCAAATAATTCCTACATTAATAGGGGGGGTGTTTTGCTCATTGCGATGGAAGGGACTGTAACTGCATTTGTATGTAACTGAAACACTTTTGAGTCAATTACAGACATTTATTTCACTATAACTAATAAATACAGTTGCGACCGTAATTGAAAAAAGTTTTAGCTGTAAGTAGGGTTTAGCGTGCAACTTCAACAGCAGCCAATCTTCATAAGACATCCGAGAAATCAATATGATACCTCAAACAAATATCTACGTCAGTAGCTATAAATTATAAAATTTTAAAAATGAACCAAACAATTGCAACATTTAGCAGAAGTATGCAATTAATGACAATAACAATTGCAGTTGCAATGTACCAAACTATCCTTTTGAGTGCTTAACTTAGTTAACTACCATTAGATTGTTTGCTTACTCCAAGGGATGGATTGAGAGGGGAGTTATCATCACTCGCGAGGTACCGAAAGAACGCATCAAGACTTAGGTGTTTACACTCTAGCCCTTGAGAATCTATGATTTGCATAGCCGTCTTTTTCGTAGCATCAACTTCACCTTGGACCTCGACCAGGAGCCGCTGCAGGTGGTCCGGGCCCATGACCCCGTCCCCGGAGTACCTTAAGAACACGTCCTTGAACGTGTCCGCAGGATCACTGGACGCATGCTCGAACTCATTTCGCAAGCAAAACCAAGCTCTGTACATATTTTTACCAAGGACTTAATGCAGAGTGAATGGACTATGGCGTGTGTGGTAACGAGGAGGAGAGTTTAAATAGAGAAAAAAAGGAAGAGGAAAGGGATCGAGTTGGTTGGAAAGTGACCTTGGTTTTCTGGCTTTGCTTTCGAGCATAAATGCTTCAACTATTAAATTGCATATATTTACGAGGAGATGATGATTTGAGGAGAATACTTTTTGAGAGAAGTCTACTTATTAGTCTTGGGTTTAGTGGAGTTTGTGTAAAATGTGCTGGTTAGGACATGAAAGTGATGTCTTTTATAATATGTTGATCTTGTTCCCTTAAAAAAGCACCAAATTGGACATAGTTTATGTGATGAATTTTTTTTTTTTTAATATAAATCAGGATTCGAGTGGGAGAAATCACTTACTCGATTATAATAGTTCGATGATACGTAGATGGTTATGATTTATTGTAGCATAACTAACATCATATCATTCATATGAAGCGCATTCGTTTCTCACTCAAGAAAGTCCTAACCGTGAACTAATTGATTAATGATCATAAATTAAGGAGAGGCCCCCCCCCCCCACACACAACAACGACAGCACACACAAAGTATAAGTTAGGGGGTTTTAGTCTATTTTATTAAGAGAATCCAATAGAGCAACTTAGAGAAAAAAAGTACACATATCCGTACGAAGAGCTTACAAATTAAAGTAAACTAAGGACCGCAAATTTATATCAAAGTAAAAGAAATAGTGTAACATATATCTCACAAATAAAATGTAGAAACCATGCTGGACATCGGATAAACAAAAGGTAAAGAGGATAATTCCGCAATTAAGATCACCTTAATACAGTCCATAATACAAAATATTGTTCGTTTTTCTGTCAAATCCATCTTGTTTGAGTATTTAGAGCATATACTGTTGGGAATCTAACGCCTAAATCCCTAATGCAACAGAAACGTAGAATAGAAAAAGTACACCAAGATTTACGAGGTTCGGCAACTGCCTACGTCCTCGGGAGCCACACGGTCAATTTCTTATTAATCAAACAAGAAATTACAAATCAAGAGCAAATCCTAAAACTGAGATTTCTCAGATGAACACTGTAGCTGCAGTGTTAATAATTAAAGGGAATAAACCCCTTTCAAATCTCACTTGAGAATAAAGAATATCCCACTATAAAACCCCTCTTTAATTCTCTCTCTCTCTCTCTCTTCTTAAATCTCCCCTCAACCACTGTTGAAAGCTGGGGATTAATCAAAAAATCACTGCTGCGATTTTAGGGCAGTCCGCCGCCGCCAGAGAGGAAATCAGAAGAAGGGGGAAAAGCACAGCACCGAAACCCTAGGGCGATGGGGGGAGGGCTTTTATAGGGGAAACATTGACAGGCTGGCGACAGCCTGTCGCCAGCGGCCCGCTTGGACGCGAGGGTGGGAGCGCCAAAACGCGGACGTCGGAGTGCGGACGCGAGGGTCGGAGCTTGGACGCGAGGGTCGAGCTGCCAAAACGCCGAGGTCGCGATCGCCAAATTCGAGCTCAACTGCTCGAGCTTCACCTGAAGTTCGTCGTCGACTTCGCCTGAGTCGACGTCCACGCTCGCCTGCATCATCCATCGAGCTCGTCGGAGCTCCTCGCCGGCGGAGGTGAGTTTGGTCTACACCCAAACTAACATATACGTTATAAGATCTATATGATTTTTTGTTATCTATGATATACTTATATACGCATTGTCTTTATATGAAATTTCTTTGCAAATTTTGTGAAACCCTATCGGCACAATCATTTCTGGTCTGACTTGGCACAATCCATAGGATGTAGTTTTGCGCAATTCATTATGATCTTATTAATGAAACGTGTGAATTTATTGTGTCGTGCATCTCTTATTTAAAAAAATTGGACGACTGACCAATTCACAAGTCGAGAATAAAGCTAAGATTAAATCAATTAGGAGCATCTCTTTGGACTCAGTGTGCTTTAACATGTGAAAGAATCACTTAAAGTAACTAAATAATTTCTCAGAAAGAAACTTTATTATTTCTTATACTTTCAAGTCTCATAACTTTGTAGAAAGCTCGATGCTTTTCCCACTTATATGAAATAAAATGTACGAGATTATTACCTTGTGACAAAAAGAATGTTAAGGGGACGGTGGAATAAGATATTATCAGTTTTTTATTGGGTCAATCAAATTGAGAATCTACTTATTATATTGAAACCAAGTGAGATCCATTTTGAGAAAGAAAAATACCTTAGGGACACAAAAACATAGGACCTTACATGGGATTGGTGAGGTGTCGGCTCCCTGTCCCATGATGCACTGTTCATGAATAATGCATCATGGGACATGGAGCCGACACCTCACCAATCCCATGTACGGTCCCATATTTTTGGGTCCCGGTAGCACCACCATTTGAGAAATGGTTCTATAGTTTCAACATTTACAAGTTTTTTATGACCATGTGGCCCTTGACACATGTCTCACATGACTAGACCTCAGTTTGCAAGAATATTTCCGCGTCAGGCATAGTAGATAGACATGAAGGAAAAGAGGAAGCATGTTTTGGGGAATAAAAGATTTGTCCTTTTCAAGTGTGATTATGATTTCATATTAGAATGATTTAGGAAAAGGTAATATATCGAATAGAAAATTGGAAGCAAATATTTAACGAGTTAGATTGCAAGACAATTTGGTTCTCATACTATGTCAAAGACTAATTAAAATTCTAGAGACGTCTGTTTCTTCTTAACAAGTGATATCAGAGCTCTATATACGGACCAATTGCAGAATGATTAAGATTTGACTAGTATCTAATGTCGGTTTATGATTGCCGAACAAAAAATTAGATTAATTAATTTTTTATTACTCATTTTATTTATAGAATTGGCAAGGTCGAAAAAGATTCTCCCGGTGATTGATCAGCTGGTAGGAACCTTCATCCTCACTAAGTATTAAGT